AAACCAAATGAATAAAAGTTATTATATTCTATTGATTGGTACTGAAATATTACATAGTAAAAATGCGAAATTATTTCAACAATTAAAATCGATGAAAATCAGTATTTGAACATGCCTCATTTAACGACAGAATCTCATTTAAGTTAAATGTTTAACAGTGGTTACGGAACTTACCACTATTAAAAATTAAATTGTTTTGTCAGAAAAGGTTTTGACAAATAACGCAATAATTAATGCTACACAAGGAGAAAATGGATTTACTTGAACAAATTATGAGTTAACAAATTAAGCTTCCTATAAATTATCGGACACATAATTTAACACGTAAAATAAGATAATTGCGATTGTATTTCGTTCACAAGTTCTTCAATGAAGATATTTAAAGAAGTTATACAGGGTGGCCCAAAAAAAGTTAGAACATCTCTTAGCAAAGGGTTATTTAATATGATTGCATTAATATAATGTTTTGTCATTTACGGGCAATGGAAATTGTCATGATAATGACATCATATAGTTATAGGTATATAAGTAAATCAGTAAATGTATACAGTTAACAAATGTTAATGTTATTATATTATACTGTAAGAGATGTTATCACTTTTTATTGGCCACCATGTAGCTAACCACAGCGTTATTTATGATGGGGGTGCGGAGGGGGTAAGTCCGTTCCGGGTGGCCCTTTGCCTTTAATTTTCGTTATAGGAATGGCTTACTTTTCGACAGACACACTGCAGAGGTTTTTGTTTCGTGGAAAGAGAGGCGTAAAAAAAAATTTGATCTGTCCTGGGAGCCACTAATCCTGGCCATACCACTGGTTAGCTTCTTGGTTTAGTTCACTTCTAGTCTAAATCGTAACAACTTAACAACCTTTTTATTTTGGCCACTGTTAAAATTAAATGTGGTTCCAAAGATAGATTTTAAACGCTTCGCAAGACTTTCCGAAATGCATTTAAATAAAGCATCCAAGTGAACGCTTACTTCATTTTGTGATTCAAAATCACTGCGTACGAGAGTAATTAAAACATAATTGTTACCGATCTATATCGGAATTTAGTATTACCGATTTTAAACTGGTATGACTGATGTCCCAGTTCCCGCCTTATTCTTAAAGTGTTATATTTGTAAACAAATGAGACGTTTTAATTTTTACTACGGTGTCTACATCTAACCCCGAAATATAAGTTATGCATGCGTAATCAAAATAAGTCAAGGTATTGAATAGAAAAATACATTTGAAACGTTAATCATAAATAAAGGTAATTTGTAACACTGAGAGTTGAGTGTCGTTATTTTAGAGATCTGCTTTTAAGTTCGGTTAACACTGGAGTCGGAGTGTGTCACTAGAGTCCACCGTTTGTGGTGTTTGTCACGTTAGTGGTGTCAATACACTTACTTAAACTTACTACTACTTATACTTTTTGGCTATCAGAAAAGAATTATCTTCTGGGGAGGCCCCCCCCCAACCGACCAACCCTTTTTTAAAGCAGAAATAGAAAATGAGGAAAAAGAAACACATCATTAAAATATAAAAAAAAATTGAAATAATTTTTAAAATAATACAGTTAGTTAGAGCAAATTTCAAATACAATAATGAAACCAGAATCAACTTTTTAGCTTAAGTAGTTTTTGAGCTACGAATTTTTAAAGTGTGAGTTCGTTTGGTATTTTTTACTATGGACGAAAACCTCCACATCTTGTGACCTCATTCCGCCGATCGCGTCATGCGCAATGACTATATTATATTTTATATAAGGCAACGCATCCCCTATCACTAAAATACTGTTTAGGGTCGACTTAGTTTAAACTTTCAACTTTGGGACATGAATAATTAATTAAAGCTTTCCCACCCTGACCAATGGTTTAATAGTTTTTGCAAACGGCAAACTCTTATGAATGAAACTCTGAGGTAGTACTACGATACAGCCATTATCCAAGTGGCTGTGAATGGTTGCCAATGACAACGTGTTGCACACCGTAAATTCTGATCATTTATAATATGGACTCTACCTGGTTTTTAAAGCTCAAATTAAAATATTCCTGTTTAAATGTCTTCAAAATGCATTCTGAAACACAAGTTATCAAATATTTTGATGTAAATAGTGGTAATAATTTAATATTTCCTAAGTATCGGCAACTTCCGCCATTAAAAAGGGGGCGTGGCCCACGCATGTCAAAATTAGGCTGAGCGAACTGCATGACCTGCTGTGAACCCGTAGAAGCATTGCGTCTCTTGTAAAACACATATTGCTGTGAAAATTGGCATACATACAGAACAATACATGTCCCAGATGCATAAAAAATTTGGTAGTGACATGTCTTTTACTTCAACTTAATTTTAATGGTTGAAGTTGCCTTATATTCACCAAGGATTTTCTCCAAGCTGACTGATTTTAAATGAAAAAGAAATTGATTAAAATGTAGGCCAAGATGTCCTCTAAAGCGAAAGGCCGGAAGAGGAACACAATTCTGGGATATAGTAATTATTTTATGAATGAAATAGTTCCACTATCAAAAAATTAAAAACTAGGATTTTCGCCCGCCGACGCCTATTTCCCATACAAATTTTTTAGTAGTCTCCCTTGCTTCATCGAAGTACCTACTAACCTGAACCCTAAATCGATCCCTCAGCCTAACCTAAACCCTAATTCACTGCAACAAGGCCTATAATAAACACGCAAATGACATCACGGGATGATCTCTAAATATTAGCCTTGAATACTAATACAGAGCTATACTATAGACTGAGGTTGACCAGAGGGAACTTCCATGACCTATAATTAAGCTTATCATAAGCTTAGCTTATGCTAAATATTCAGAAATAAACTTGAATTATTTGTATTTCAAATTATTATTTATTAATCGTAATAGGCATATAAAGTACTATAAGACTATTAAAACTATAGTTTGAGATATGAGTTATCATAACTATAACTTATTGCCTTAAACAGCTGTTAAATCTATAAATGGTATATTTCCAGAGTTCACTTCAGTCTCCGTAAAGGTAGCGTCATATAATAGATGGTGCTTCAAAACACTGGCAAATTCCAGTCGGAAAAAGGTGGCGAGAATGCAGACACTGGAGGGTATGTTATTTTGATATTGACTTATTGATGGCAGTCACAAGAAAGCTAGGGGTTCTCTATGCTATTTTTAATTTTCTAACAGATTTAATAAATGTTTGATTTATATGGTGCTGCTTAAGGATAAGGGAATTTTAACTTATAAATAATATACCTTAAATTCCAGTGTTTTAATGAAGATAAAAACAAAGATTCCAAAGAATCTTTAATTCACACATTGGAATAAAACATCAAAAGCTCTCTCAAGATGAGCAGGGTAGTAATGAAAGGTTTTAGAATGAATGAGTGACATGAGAATGTCTGGGCCTAGGCCCTATAAATTATTTGCTTGATACTATGGGTGTGCCGGACCCCGGTCCGGAATCCGGTTCCGACGGATTTTGCACTATCCGGTGAAATCCGGTTCCGCCGGATTTACATGTATCCGGAACAACCGGATTCCGGAATCCGGAATATACCGGATTTCGGAATTTGCCAGATTTTGTGACTCACCGGATCATAATCTGAAATAAAAGTAATTCTCTTTCCCGAATTCCACACGATCACGATACATTAATCGATTGTTTCGAGCGTTGAGCTTGTTTAATGTTTAATATTCCGTACATACCAGAGGCTAGAGTCAGCACCGCTAATAGTGGCCAATAGTGTAGGGACTTTGATAAGAAAATTTAAACTTTTTGTAAAAATAAACCAATGGCATAGTTGAAAAGATGTAATTTTTTAAAGAATTATAACACCAAAATCATATTTTTAGCTGTTGTAGTTTTAAAGTTATGAATTTTTAAAGTACGACTTGGTTTGTCATTTTTTAACATGGACTGCATCTCCACATTCTGTGATCTCATTCCGCCAATCCCGTCATGCGCAATGACTATATAGTTTATATAAGGCAACGCATTCCCTGCCTTATCACTAAAATACTGTTTAGACTTAGTTTAAACTTTCAACTTTGGCACATGAATAATTAATTAAAGCTTTCCCTGACCAATGGTTTAATAGTTTTTGCACACGGCAAACTCTTATGAATGAAACTCTGAGGTAGTACTACGATACAGTTATGCAAGTGGCTGTGAATGGTTGCCAATGACAACGTGTTGCACACGGTAAATTCTGATCATTTATAATATGGATTCTACCGGGTTGTTAAAGCTCAAATTAAAACATTCCAGTTTAAATGTCTTTAAATGCATTCTGAAACACAAGTTATCAATTATTTTGATGTAAATAGTGATAATATATTAATATTTCCTAAGTATCGTCAACTTCCGCCATTAAAAAGGGGGGCGTGGCCAACCCCATGGCGAAATTAGGTTGAGCGAGCTGCATAACCTGCTGCGAACGCGTAGAAACATGGCGTCTCTCGTAAGACACTTATCCAAATGGAACGGAACTCAAATATATATCGAAAGTACTAATTTAATAATAAATAGACACACATCGGAAAATTAAAAACTCGGATTTTTTGGCGCCGATTGCGAATTCCCATACACAAAAAGTAGTAGTCCACCTTGACTTACCGAAGTATCTACCAATAGTACCAAAATCCGGAATCCGGATCCGGCGGATTTCGCATAAGAAAATCCGGATCCGGCGGATTTCGCATAAGAAAATCCGGATCCGGATCCGGTTGGAAAAAACGGATCCGGCACACCCCTACTTGATACATTACCTTATGCTTGAAGACAGTTTCCTGCATTTGATATATATATATATATATAGATATATATAGATATATATATATATATATATGTGCAAGACACATTAAATGATTTCTTTAGCAACCTTATGGCTAAATTCGCAATCAGTTACATTTTTAACTGTAAAATATTTATTTATTTTCTCTATTATAAATTTAGTTATTTGTATAATGCTAAAGTTTCTCACTGTTTACACAAAAAATTTCATTAACTTTGTTTTGGAAGCTCTCGTGAAGATTCCACAGAAAAACGGTTAAAGAGAGCAATTGTCAATGATGAAATTGATATAAGATTTGGCTACGAGCGTTACAAAGATGCAGCCGAGAAAACTGGTTGGCTTATCAACATGCATCCAGTAAGTTATTAATTATTCTATGACCCTTTTTTGTAACTTAATTCAATTTTAGTTTGAACAGACAGTATAAAAAAAAGTCTAAGAGTCTAGTATAGTGGCACATCAGCTATTTCTATTACCAGGTATATTGTTTCAGGTTTATATTAAAATACAAGGGTGCTCAAATTAAACTAAGAGTAACATCTTGCAACTTTTTAATCTTGCTGGATTAAAGCTTCACATTTCATTCCATGACCATTTAAAATAAATTTAACTATTTCTATCATATATTTAAAAAAAAAAAATAACCTCAGGTAAATCATAACAAAACTGGTGAGATTTGAGACCCACTATTTTCAAATGATTTAAAACATTATAATTGACTAATTCCAGACTGACATTCTGGATGCAGACAAGAGACTGGTTAGTGCTGTGGATTACTACTTCTTACAAGAGGACGGTGGTCGATTCAAGGTAAATCTCAGGTTTTTTTTTTTATTAAACTGCCAATAAACTGCCAATCATATTGGCACATAATTTTTTATTATATGGCATGATGGAAAACCTGTGGTATTTACCCTGGATTATAATATGACTATTTTTTTGCCGGGGTGGGGGGGATGTTTAGGGGAATTTTATTACTTGCCCTCTTCTGATAGATATCTGTTTTCCAGACCCTGATGCTTTACTTATGTCAATTTTTGCAACCTTTAAGGAATTCTTGTGTTTCTTTAAATTTTTAAAAAGAATATGACAATTATGATTATAAATTGTAACTTTAAAGTCTTAATGAAACTAAAGCTTGTTTTTGTGTTTTTAAAAAAAAAAATTAGTAAAATAAATTAATGATTCACAGTACCTTAGAGGAGAAGATCTCAGTGACCAATAAGAGGACAGTAGCTTTCAGAGGTGTGCTGGCTTAGAAATAAGTTTTTGGATAGCTCTACTGTAGTTGACAATATTTAGTCACTGCTGATGTAAAACAAAGTTACCCAAATCAGTTACACTAAAGAGGTGAATCTGCAAGATTAACATGTCACATATTTAAAATGCTTATGAAAGTTCCACATCATTGTAATTGCACTCTTAAATGATTCATTTTTGTTTCTATTTTCTTCCTAAAATTATAGGCAACACTTCCTTTCAAGCCTTATTTTTTTGTGGCTGCAAAGGCAGAGTGTGAAAGAGAAGTAGCCAGTTTTATAAGCAGAAGATTTTCAGGGAAAATTGCCACTATTGAAACAGTACTGAAAGAGGATTTAGATTTGGTAAATATCTCTTTCAAATTACCTCTAGGTTATTGCTATCGGTTGATACAAATTATTGATCTATTAGCCATTCGAATAATTCTATTTTTTATGTGAATCATTTTTCATGTTCATTTACTACCAGCCAATAATGTGGTAAAATATGAAATGGCTTACTATTGCTACTCTTTAGAGTATAATATTTAAAAAATATTGTCTCTTAATATTGGATTCCCAGCTGCTGTAAATCCATCATCCATGTAAGCCTAGGTCTGCCTTTGAGGGTTTTGGTGGTGCACACTCTTCACTCCTCAAAGCTGCCCATTCAGCTCCTATTATATCTTAAATCCTGACTAGGAAATTTAATTCTTGTTGAACAGCCCAATCACCTTGTTGGACTTAAGCGGTCCTACATCAAACTTTCATTCTATAACACGGAGGATCTCATCAAAGTTAGGAAGGAAATATTTCCAGCAGTCAGGAAGAACAAGGCGCGAGAGAAAAACCTGGATGACTACACAACCATGCTGACTAGGTTTGGCATTCTTGGATTAAGTTTTAGATATTATTATTTGACTTTGTTTAGTGTGATGTAAAGTCTTTTTATAAAGCTGAATCATTCGTCAAAGTAATCTGTAAAAATGTCTGCAGATATCAGAATAATCCTGGAGAAGCCATTTATTATATTATGATTTTAAGGAATTTTAATTTTTGGTAGACCTCTTTGTTTTGATAAGGTTCAAATGTCTCTTTGAAATAAGATGTTTGCATTTAGTTGGTGTGATTATTTAAAATTTGGAAATTGCTTTTAAGTACTAAACAATGAAAATTGCGTTCTGTATTTTCACCATATTAAAAAAAAATATTTTAAATAAGGTGATTTGGAAGTTTTTTTTCTTCCAATCTATTGACAATTTATGTGTTGTACGTGTCATGATTATATTTTGCCCATTTTTTACTCTGTCAGCCATTATGCAGGTGAAGAGGCTTTAAGCACATCTAAGAAAATATCAGATCAGATGGAAAATATAATTGACCTGAGGTGAAATAATATTTATGAATGCGATTTTTTTACATTACATTCTATTTTTTTAAAAATTTAGTCATTTTGCATTAGTTTTGCCTTTACCTTAATAAATAAAATATATTTTCTTAAAAGAAAATTAAATGTAATGCCATAAGTTTCAGTTTGTCTTTGCTTTATAATTAATGAATTATTTAAAGCTATCTAATCGAGTGGTTTCAGTACTTTCTTTTTCTTGAAACTTTCAATTTTTGCAGAGAATATGATGTACCCTATCATGTTAGAGTCTCCATTGACCTGAAGATATTTGTTGGACACTGGTACTCAGTAAAAGGGCGTGGCTCTCATGAGATTGACATCTGGCATAGGGAGGACCTGGTTGCCTGGCCGGTAAGATAGTATTATCTGACTATTTCAAACCATAATCAAGAGATGTAGACTATTTCATTCTTGAACTGATAATGTTGACAAATGGCAAAATATTCTTGGTAAGCTTTCTTTGATACTATGTTAAAAACTTATGTTGGATTAATTTTTTGAAGGATAAACTTACTCCTTTATTCCAAGTGTATTCTTTTTTGGTTACTTGTTAATCACTTTAGAGATATTTATACATTATAGAAATTATTAAATATGATTTCTATTATATCTGCTCAAGCCACGCAGTTATAGATATTTTTTCTGTTCTGCTTGTTGCATTAAATTTGTACATTTCATGAATTTCAGGATCCTATTGTGTTGGCTTTTGACATTGAGACAACCAAATTGCCTCTGAAATTTCCTGATGCCCAAACTGATCAAATAATTATGATATCCTACATGATAGATGGCCAAGTAAGCAGCAAGTGTAATTAAATTAATAATAAAATCACCAGCATATCCTGTCAATAAAATGCTGTTACAATAGAGATCTTCAATGGTCAACAATTACCATAACAACTGGAGTTTGTTTGAGGATCCAAATATATTTGTATAATATTTTTTTTTTTAAAAATTAATAAATATAATATGCATACATTTATCATCAAGTTGATAATACATTTTTACCAGGGCTATCTTATCTGCAATAGTGAAATAGTGTCCCAAAAAGTTGAAGACTTTGAATACACACCAAGGCCAGAGTTTGAGGGACCTTTCATTGTTTTTAATATGCCAGATGAGGTTTGTCAAATAAAACAAAAATAATTTTTCAAACTTATTTAAAAAAGCACTAGTTAGGTCTGAGTGGAAGGGAGTAGTGAGGCAGGCCAAAGCCCTACATGGGCTGTAGTGCCACAGGGATGGATGGATTTAACAAACGACTTTATCATAATAAAATACCACGTTTTAATATCTACAAGTCTTTTAATTAAATTTTTTTTAAAAAGTTAAATGCAATGACTATGATTTTATAACAAATTCTATGCAGTATTATTTGGCATAGATTTATTGAATTCTATGCAGTATTATTTGGCATAGATATATTGAATTCTATGCAGTATTATTTGGCATATATATATTGAATTCTATGCAGTATTATTTGGCATAGATATATTGAATTCTATGCAGTATTATTTGGCATAGATATATTGAATTCTATGCAGTATTATTTGGCCTAGATATATTGAGAGGATGCATACAATAAGATTTCATTATATTGTTTTATTTAACAGAAAAGTCTGATACAAAAGTTTTTTGAGCATATTCAAGAAGTAAAGCCACATATAGTCTCCACTTACAATGGGGACTTCTTTGATTGGTAAATATATCTATAAGATTTTTATTTTAACTCATAGTTTTTCGTAGCATGTTATATTGAGTGTTATGATCAAATAACTGTTCTTTTTTCCTACTTGTGTGTTGTCTTGTTTCTTGTTGTCAGTGAATTAGCATTCGTTTTATCATTTTAAATCATCTTTGTATTTTATTTATTCTTTATTAAGTCTGGTAATTTAAAAAATTAATTTAAAAGCTGATGTTTTATAATATCTAAAATAAATATCTAAACTACATTTAAACTTTCATGAAGTAGGCTATTTACAAAATGTAATATACCTTTGCACGCATGTCAATTATTTATAACTTAAATTTGTTTTTTTATTTTGCGGATAATATTATACTTTAAAAATAAAGAAACTGAAAAATAAAAATTCATGACCGATTTGTATTATGATAGTTCTTTAAAATTCTTCTTATCAGGCCATTTGTGGAGACTAGGGCAGCCATACATGACATTGATATGTTCCATGAGATTGGCTTCCAAAAAGATTCACAGGGTGAATATAAAAGTCGTCCTGCCTCACATATGGATTGCTTTAGGTGAGACTGCATACACAAATGGTTCTATTTAGCATTGAGGGGAGTTTCACCGTTATAATGTATGAAGTGGTACTAATGTGGATGTGGGCTCACTGAGGTTGTTATGCAAAGAGTTTTTTTATCTTATTGTGATGAGAGAAAAATATAAACTCATCAAATCTCCTGTTCTGATTTACAGATGGGTCAAACGTGATAGTTACCTGCCCATGGGAAGCCAAGGTTTGAAAGCTGTCGCTAAGGTATACAGGTGTTGTTTACATCATCATTCTGTGGGGGCCAATGCCATCAAGAAATCTCTTTCTTTTATTCCCCTCTTTTTATCTCAGTTTAAAATATTTTTTTACATTGTGCAAATTCAATTTGAATTTTTTGTAACTTTAAATATTAAAAATATATTTTGTCAGTGAATTGTCATTCATTTTATCATTTTAAATCAGCTTTGTGTAACAGTTAAAAATTGTAATGATTTGTGTTTTTTTTAACTACTATTTAATGCATTCCAAATATCATTGACTGGTTTTAGAATATAGACTGCTAGCATTTAAGCAATGTTTACAATTACCAGGCAAAGCTTCGTTATGATCCTGTAGAACTTGACCCAGAAGAAATGTGCCGGATGGCTAGTGAGCAGCCACAGGTCAGAATAATTTCTTATGGTGGTACTAAATTAGCTTCTCTTATTTCAAAATAGCATAATGCTAGTTTTCTTATTTGCTGACTTATTGGAAAATCTCTTTTAACATCAAATCATGGGGTCTTGAGCAGAAGTTTATCCAAATAATGCTTGTTAATAATTAAAATAGGGTGACATTATAATAAAGGTAACTAACATATGCCAAGTGAACGCAGTTGAAACGTTAATATTTTTCTGTATTGATTGAATAGAAAATACAGTTAATATATCAGTAAAATAATAGTTTTAAAAAAAAGTGTTTAAGTGTATAATCCACTCTGTGGTATTGACTCCTGGGACCACTTTCATTTGGCTCAGCTCTATTGCTGTAAATGATTTCTTGATGTTTCCAGGTGTTGGCCAACTACTCAGTATCAGATGCTGTGGCCACTTATTACCTCTACATGAAATATGTGCATCCTTTCATCTTTGCCCTCTGTACTATTATTCCAATGGAGCCTGATGAGGTCTGTCTCTGTGTCCGTCTCTGTGTGGTCTAAATTTTTAGGCAAACGTTATTTAAAAAGAAATAAGCGAACATTTCAGTAAACTCAAGTTAAAAATCTCATAGTTTTTTTATTTGTACTTGCAACATCGTTGTTTTATAAATAAATATTTTATGATAAATAGATCTTAAGATTTTTTAAACAAAATCTAGTGTGAACATCTGAAATAAATTTCACTACAAATGATGGATAAAATCTTGTTTTAGATCACCAGGCTTCAGCGACATATAACTAATAAAAAATTAGGGTTTTAATCACTGTGGTATTTGAAACTGGTCTGAACAGGGTTCAAATTTTGATGTGTTAAAAACTTGGAACATAACTTCTTATGAAAGGATGTCAATTTTTGGTTTACAGGTTTTAAGAAAGGGCTCTGGGACTTTGTGTGAGGTCCTGTTGATGGTGCAAGCTTACCACGCTAACATCGTTTACCCAAACAAGCAGGAGTCCATCCTCAACAAGATGACCGATGATGGGCATGTCCTTGATTCTGAAACTTACGTTGGGGGGCATGTCGAGGCTCTAGAGTCAGGTGTTTTCAGAGCTGACTTGCCTTGTCGTTTTCGTATGGTATGTAACAGTTAGGAAAACTTCAAGATATATATAATAATAATAATAATAAAGATTATTTGAAAATCACGCTTCATCTCCAAAGGCTCCAAGCGCGGTACATACCACATTGAAGTACAAAACGCAACATTACAAAAACTACATATGAGAATACCCATTCTAAGTCTTTCATACCTGGCAACCATAAACAACACAGGCCAATATACATGTACAAGATAGTAGCCAGATAGACAAAATCATCACCCCAGCAGGTGTTTGCGAAACAGATAAGTCTTCAAATCAGTTTTGAAAGACTCCAGTGTCTGGCTGTTTCTGAGAGCGATAGGAAGGGTGTTCTAAATTGTTGGGCCAGCAAATGCGAAAGTTCGCCCGTCGTACGTCTCAAGACAAACATGTGGTATCGAAAGTTTGCCACTGTCAGATGAGAGGAATTGTCTAGTGGGTACATAAAAACAGTAGTAAGATATTTTTGCCTATGGTCACTAGAAAATTCCTTGCAAAACATATTTTTTTATGTGCAAAACATTTTTTTTATAAATGTAGATTTAAAACTCTATAAATTGTCTATATTTATTATGCCTTAAGTAGCTAACATTATTAGCAAATGCAGCCTTTGTGTTCATTCTTGTAATTTAAGCCCATGACTCAAAGAAAATATAAAACATATTTAACTTCTAGGTCCCTGCAGCATTCCAAATGCTCCATGACACAGTTGAGAAAACCTTAAAGCATGCTTTGGAAGAGGAAGAGAAAGTTTCCCTGTCTTCTGTGATCAATTTTGAAGAGGTGAATTTGAAACAATTTCCAATTGCGCTACAAAATAGTTAAAATATTTTAAAACACTTGTTTCAGTTACCTTAAAGCAAGCTTATATATTGCTGTTTATTTTTGGGGAGAAAGAATTTATTTTTCAAAAACGTTTTTCTGTCTGATATTAAGGTATGTGGTGAAATAAAAGAAAAACTTGCTCAGTTGCGGGACTGCCCAAACAGACTGGAGAACCCAATCATTTACCATCTTGATGTGGGGGCCATGTATCCCAACATTATTCTCACTAACAGACTCCAGGTTTGTACAAAAATAAATTGGGGCAATCGTGGTAAGTGTCATCATGTTTTGAATCTTGATCTCCCTTATATTCAATTAAAATAAAGGTGTATTGCCTTGATCTTTTTTATAATGTTTCTATTCGTTAAAAACTGGGACTAACTTTACAATACATACTCCTTTAGCCACCAGCCATTGTGAATGAGGAAACGTGTGCAGCCTGTGATTTCAACAAGCCAGGAGCAAAATGTCAGAGAAACATGCCATGGATGTGGAGAGGAGAATTCAGTACGTGTATAGAGAAATTTGATTTAATTAGTCTTCACTTTCATAGATGTAATTAGGTAACAAGAATTATTATGAACCTAAACTAAATACAGCTGTTTTTTTTTTTTTTTTATGCCAATGATTGTATTTCATGAATAGTTTTAATAACTCCTAGTGCCCGCCACAAGAAATGAGTTCTATCGTATTCAGCAACAGTTGGAAAATGAAAAATTTCATCCCTTGTATCCTGATGGTCCCCAGCGAGCATTCCATGAACTTCCCAAAGAGGAGCAAGCTGCAATAGAGAAGAAGAGACTTGGAGGTAAGTCCAGGAACAGTTGAAGAATTTGAGCCTAGGATGAAAGGTAGAATTTGAACCTAGGATGAAAGGTAGAATTTGAACCTAGGATGAAAGAAATTTATGGCCAAACTTGTAAAAGAAAAACTTCGTGTGAAGCAAATGCTGAATTAAAAACTAAACTATTTTAAACTAAAATCTTTGTCATACATATCAGTGTAGAAAATTATATGTAATACTTACATATATTACAGAGCATATACTAACATTGTCTGTTAAAGTCTTTGTACACAGACATTTAAGATATTGCTTCATTTACTGAAGAAGAAAATCCAACAAGCAAACTATGTATAAAACGTTTGGAATCCAAAGTCCTAAAATTGTATACATTTTTAAAATTTCACAGGACAACAAGGTTGTTAATATACATACTCTCTTTTTTAGACTGGTTAAGATAAATACTCTCTTTTTTAGACTATTGTCGCAAGGCATACAAAAAAGTCCACACAACAAGAATGGAGCAGCGTGTGTCCACGATTTGTCAGAAGGAAAACAGTTTCTATGTGGACACTGTCAGGGCTTTCAGAGACAGGAGATATGAGTTCAAAGGTTGTAGTAGTTCAGCACTGATAAAGTTGAATTACCTGGCATACAAATGTAAAAGAAATATTATTTTTGATTTATGTGATTGTTATTTAGTGTAAACAAAATATTTATGCTATGGATATTGTAATCATTATTTAAATTACTCTTATTCTTGTAAAATTTAGTATAATATGCCAGGTTCGTGTCCCATCTTCAGATCTGACCAAAGTCTGGAAAAACAAGCTAACAGAAGCTGAGAAGAAAAATGATGCTGCAGAAATAAAGAGAGCCAATGGCCTGCTTGTGTTGTATGATTCACTGCAACTGGCTCACAAATGTATTCTCAACTCATTCTATGGATATGTCATGAGAAAGGGGTAAGTTAAATATACAACAATTCATGAGGAATATGCAACAATTTATGGATATATTATATCAGCCCTACACTGAGTTGAGGGTACAGCATTTTGTTAAAGGGAACTGCCACCTTTCAATGATATCCTAATTATAAGGGATGATTTAACATTATGCATCAATCTTCCATTTAGGATAAGCTGGGTCTAAGTTTTGTCAAGGGAAGATAGTAGCAATACAAAGTACTAATTACTAATGGAAAAAAGGGTTTTAGTTTGGGCTATAACGTTTTCTTCAAGGGGGAGGGGGCGGAGTGAGAGAGAGAGAGAGAAAGAGAAACTTGCATTAGCGATAGTATGGACATTGGGGAGTGGGGTGAAATATGTGGATTTCCTTAATGGAAACCCCATACCTATGGTTTTAAAAAAAAGAGGTAAACTTTTTTTGTAACGAAATTTTGATTGAAATAGTTTGATCTTCATAGATTTTCTGCAGAATGGTAATAACCTTCCACCAGCTGCTGACCAGACTGAACTTGCAATCAATTAGGCATTTTTAATAAAAAGATGTTTCTCAGTTAATATAACTATAACATTTATATATTTTTTTAAAAATACCTTAACTTTTTTTTTTTTATAATGGAATGCAATTAGGGCCAGGTGGTATAGCATGGAGATGGCTGGGATCGTGTGCTTCACTGGTGCAAACATCATTACCAAGGCCAGGGAAATAGTGGAGCAGATTGGGTAACTAACAAACTAACAAGTAGTTATTTTAAAGTGGGAAATATATATATTTAAAATAAAAAATGTAGATACAGTTTTCTTGATTATTGTTTTCTTCACCAAGTGCGTCCATTTTCTTTGAACTTGATTTTTACTTATATTTTTTAAGTTCAGGTCATTTATAAAAAAAAAATCATAACTAAATTATTAACTTGTTGTTTTTTTCTCTAGCTACAAATTGATGTTCATAACTTATTTATTTCAATGTTTGAAATCCAATATTTTTTAATAATGATTTAAAAAGAATTTGTTTTCAACTCTTTGGTAAAAATTACCGCATGCTGGTTGTCACAGCAATGAAGTAATTAACTTTGTCAATCTATTTCTAAATATTCTCTATTATTTAAAATATAAAAAATATATATATGTGGAGAAAGCTCTAATTTCCTTCCATGATTTATCTAATGCTGATATAAAGACTTCTTCTTATTTATCAATTTATTTGTAGACGTCCATTAGAACTGGACACTGATGGTATCTGGTGTGTTCTGCCTGCCAGCTTCCCAGAAAATTTCATATTTAAAACCAATAACCCAAAGAAGCCCAAAGTGACCATTTCTTATGCAGGTGCCATGTTGAACTCCATGGTCAAGGTTAGAAGCAAGACCTAATTTACCTCTGATATTCAGTGTACAAACTTAATATTAAACTAAACTACAATGCAGTAAACTGATTGAAGTCATTTCCGCAAAATTCCAAAATTCAATGTATTAATACAGTAGCTTGATGGTTGGAAATGTTCTACTTCAGGACCACTTCACCAATGATCAGTACCAGGAGCTGACAGATCCCGCCACTCTGACCTACAAAACTCGCAGTGAGAACTCAATCTTTTTTGAAGTGGATGGTCCCTACCTTGCTATGATCCTGCCAGCATCCAAGGAAGAAGGAAAGAAACTGAAAAAGAGATATGCTGTGTTTAACTTTGATGGCTCTTTAGCTGAACTCAAGGTATTCTTAATGCTTAAAATATTTCATTCCTTCTCCCAGCTCTATGTACACAAACAACATGCCCACCCCCATATGAAATAATAAGTTAGAATTGAGGTTTCATTGTGCCTCACTGTCTTGCCACCTCACACACAGAACACCTCCCTGTAATGTAAATAATTTATTTCAAATATTGTAGGCAAGATGAAGCTATCATGACTTGTTACAGGGAGAAAAATAATTGTAAATGTTTCTGAATTAATTTGTACCGTAACAATAAAAAATCTTTTATGTTCACACATATTGAAGCTTAGAACTAAAACTCTTTCGAATGTTGAGGATTCAGATAGACCTAATAATGTTTTGCAATTTAAACCCAGAAGGAATAAAGCAAGAACTGATGTGGCCAGGTGTGGGCCCAGCTTGAGAAGTTTTATAACTGAGCCTGTAATTTCAGGGGTTCGAGGTGAAGCGCCGTGGAGAACTAGAACTGATCAAGATATTCCAGTCATCTGTGTTTGAGGCTTTTCTCAAGGGCAACACTTTGGATGAATGTTACTCAGCTGTGGCAAAGGTTGCGGATTACTGGTTAGATGTGTTGTATAGCAAGGTAAATTAAATATTGTATATCTTTGGTGCAACAAGTTGGGTTTCTATGTTTAAATGATGTTGTTAGTCTTATCTTCTAGAATTTAAAAATGGATTGCCATATATATTTGCTGTTTTCTTGAAAAAAAATTTGAGCATTGAAAAATAAAATACTATGTCAATTTTATACAGCTCAGTTGCTTTCAAATACGTTTTCTGAAATGAACATTTTGACAACTGTTAAGTTACTGGTATTCTATTTATGTGTCATTAAATATTCATCAATATTTAAACATTGCCATCAAAGCTTTTGGCCAATCACTTGGTCATGTATGATTTTAGATTGCCATATGTATCAATCATTTTCTTCACATGTATGATTTTAGATTGACATATGTATCAATCATTTTCTTCAATAGTTCTTACAAAGTTAATTTTCTCTCCCTCCAATTTTTTAGGCAGCAAATATGCCAGATTCTGAACTGTTTGAGCTGATTGCTGAAAATCGCAGCATGTCAAAGAAGCTGGAAGACTATGGAAGTCAGAAATCTACGTCTATCAGCACAGCAAAAAGACTGGCAGAGGTGAATAATTTCAACATCTCTTAATGGTCTATGAATTTTGAGAAAAAAATTAACTTATGTAGTCTGTAATTTCTAAATTTTTGTGTAATACTCATTTGAGTTGAATTCTTTGAGAAACTCAGATTTTTAAATTAAAAAAATATTTTTACTTAAACTCTATGTAGTTTTGAAGGCTTTGCAGCTTAAAATAAAAAAAATCTAAGTGTAATTGAAGATCTCAAATTTATCTTTTGTCTTCAATTCTTTCAGTTTCTTGGTGATCAGATGGTTAAAGACACAGGCCTTGCTTGCAGATTTGTGATTTCCAAGAAACCAGAGGGCTGCCCAGTTACCGAAAGAGCCATCCCACTTGCCATTTTCCAGGCAGAGCCAACAGTGAGGCGCCATTACCTGAAGAAGTGGCTCAAAGTTTCTGATGCTTCCAACCTTGATATAAGAGATGTAAGAAAAATTCCATTAACACAACCAAAACTGTTGCTCTTTATCCTTTCTGTTTTCCGTACTCCATTTCCCACTTCCTCTACCCTTTTTAAGTGCTGTTTTCAAACTAGAACAGTGTTCAACTATATTCTCTCATTCATTGGCATTGATGCTGGTCGGCTTTAGATCTTTCTTTTTAAAGAACAAACACTGCCTTCCTATTGGGCTTGCCCCATCTGCCTTTTCCCTGTACAAAAGGTCATTCTGGGATGTGACCTGTATTCATTCTCTTCACGTGACTTAACCTAGCTGAGGGTGTAGAATAGGTTGCATATTTTGGCATGTTCCAGAACTTTAGTTTTGGGCATCTAGTCCTGCTCTTAATGGTAGAGACCTCACTTGGAAGTTGCTGTGTTTTTGCTGCAGGCTTTTATTTCCTGCAAAGGAGAAAATAAGTTATTAAATTAAAGAATGATTCTTTTTTTTTTTAAAAATATGACTCTGACCCATTTTATACATAAAACTGAGGATTTTGTTTCAGATTTTGGACTGGGAATATTATGTGGAACGTCTTGGTGGCTGTATTCAGAAAATTATCACAATTCCTGCAGCTCTCCAGTCGGTGAGTCTTATTTCTATTTTAAATTTTAAACTTAATGATCTTTCATATATAAAATGTTCAAGATGACTACTACATTTTTTACTCTATATTCATTAAAAAGAATTTCTTTCTTTTATTTTTGCATGTTTTGTTATCAGCATTATTTTCTTAACTTAAAATTTTATTAAATGATTAGTGCTATTTGCAGAGTCACCTGATTCATTTTGTACTCTTCAGATCTATCATTGCACATTATAAAATTATTCCACTCTTAATATAATTTCAACTTTTGAAATCAGTTTAAACAAAAAAAAAATGTTAAACATGCTATGAGTTTGCTTTAAATCTAAAAAAAAAAAAAATTTTGTTTTTAGGTTTCCAATCCAGTTCCTAGGATTCCCCACCCTGACTGGTTGAGAAAAAAATTACTTGAGAGAAATGATGTCTTTAAACAGAAAAAAATCAATGACATTTTTGCACCTAAGCCAAAGCAGGTCAGTTATTTGGACAGTGGTCAGTTGAAGCATTTAAAAAAAATATAACAAGGTCTTATACTATTTATGTAATCAAATGAATGGGGCTTCATCTTTTTTTTAGAAATAGTTCATCTGTAACATTTTAAATACATTTTAGTTTGACAAACTAAAAGCTAATATTATACCCTGTATATTAGCTTTACTTTGGTTATGATCTTATTTGAACTACTTTTACAGATTCCAGAGGATATAGAGGAAGAAGAGGACTCATCTGAACAGCAAGCTGTTGGTGATATTGAGGACATTGCCATCCATCCAAAATCAGTGGCCGCCCAAGGGAGATTGGCAGTGGCTAACAAAAGGAAACGAAACCAATCAGAAGATGAAACAGCCAATCAGGAAGGGCCACAGAATTGGAGGGAGGTTCTTGGGCCGATGCCTCCTATTGGAAAAACTAAGGTTGGTGCCACAGTTGAAGATCTGATCTATGATTTAGTCATCTCAATGATTTATCCATAGAAAGTTGGAAAATATTTATATTTCTGTATTATTTAGCTTCACTATACATCTGCTGATTATACAGGCAGGGATCACACTGGACGGTCTATAAGATGTGTCCTTTCTTTAAGGAAGATTAAAATCATAAGTATTAATTTTGGAAAAAAGTCTGTGCTTATGAAACATAATCTGCCAGTGTTTATGAAATGATAATCTGTCCATGCTTATAATGAAAGCAAGCCTACACTCATGTATGTCTTAAATTTTTCTCATCCAATCTTTAGGAAGAGCGTAACATTTGGGTTGAGTACCAGAAGAAAAAATGGGTCATTCAAAAGCAGATACGTCAGGAGAGTAAGAGAAGGAGAATGGATGACAATGACTTCCACGTGGGGGTTAGGATGGGACCCAGCAGTAATCTGAGTGGATTTTTGAGAAAAACAGCCAGAACAATGATGGACATGCCCTGGCAAATAGTTCAGGTAAATGTTGAGAATCCCTAGGGGAACTAACTTTAAGTCTTAAAAAATCTTGGTTTGATGACCAAACGAGCACAAAACTTGAGATGAAAATCCACGTTTAACTTTCAAGTTTGTATTTAATTTTTAACATTTTACTCTTTACTACCAGAAATTTTTTTCATCCCCTTTAGTTACTCATGGGCCACCGACTTTAGAATAATAAATGGCATAAACACAGATGTAAAGAAAATCCATATCATTTTGCACAGTTAAGTTTGGATCCAGGCAAAGAAATTGTTTTAAACTTCAGAACATTTATTTCATGCCAAATCATGCTGCACATTACATTTAATCTTTAATAGAACCTTTGTTAAAAAATAGAGTAAGTTTTTTCAATGTTTCATTATAGATTATGGAGACATCCATTCCTGGTCAGTTCAGGCTGTGGGCCCTGATCGGGTCAGACTTACATGCCCTTAAACTCAACGTCCCTCGTACATTTTATGTCAACCAGAAAACACAGAAAGAAGGAGAAGGGGCGAGTACGTGACTTGAATATTAGTATGGATGTTATTCTGCTGAGTAAATTTAATAACTGACATAACTATGAGGTAGTAAATCTAAATGAAGCATTGTCCATTGCTTTGCAATGATGTAGTATTGTTGAGGGACACTGGCACTGGCCGATAAAAATCTGGAATCCCCTTTTCATGAGAACCCTCTCTTTGATTTTTAAAAAAAAATTGCTGGCGCAAAGTCAGTTGCTTGAAAAACATTTTTGTCTTGTTGTATAATGTTATTGTGGTTTTTATTGTTGCAGAAGAAAGAATTTTCAGATAAATCGTGAGATCTATTGTCTTGTTTAATTTTGCAAGCCTTAGCATACCAATATTTAATTTCCCTTGATTACTTTTTGATGAAGTTATTGTATTAGATTTTAAATTGTATTCTAAGTGGAAAAACTGATGGGAGATAGAAATCAAAGTAATTAAATGAAAATGTTTGGGAGTAATTTGTAATAACTAAGCTAATAAGTGGAAATTGTTCATTTCATTGCATTTCTCCCCTTCTAATTTCAGTGTGGAAAAAAGTCCACAGAACACTGCCAAGATCTCATCCAGTTTTTAATTTGTATCAGTACGATGTACCTGAGCACATTTACATTAAACATATCAAGTAAGTAGCAATGATATCTTTGTCTTATTCTTACTTTAACACCAAATCATTTCTTAAAAACAAACTTTTAAATGACAGCTTTTTAAATTATTATTTTTTTTTTTTTTTGCTTACCCTCAGCGACATCACAGCTGACCTGTCCTCACCAGACATTGAAGGTGTTTATGAGACCCAGGTTCCTCTAGACTTCCGTGCCATAGTTAAGCTAGGGTGTGTGGCAACAGTCAATCGAGACTTTGCCAGGAGCATGGATGGAAGAGTGGGTCATTTTGTTTGGTTCATATTTCTTCCATTAACACCCCTTCACTTCTGTCATTTTCTTTTCTTTTAAATTGTATTGATTAATTAAATAGTTACTTATTGACTGCTTTTGAGATATTGGAAATATGAAATGATCCAAAGTTAATTATGTTTTTGTTATAACTTTGTGAAGATTTGAAATGTTGATACTTTTTTTATGCACTTATCTTATGCACCTTTCTTATGTACCTGTCTGTGCACCTGTCTTATTCACCTGTCTTGTACACCTGTCTTATGCACCTGTCTTATGTACCTGTCTTCTCTTGTGCACCTGTCTGATATAGGTGATTTGCAAATCTCCACAGGAAACAGACACATTTGATCTTTACAGCCTCAACTTTCGTAGTGTGGCTCAGTTTCCTTATCTGAATCAGGGCTCTATAAAACACATGTACCTCTATCATCATAAATGGTAGGTTTTTGCATTTAGATTTACCAAAAACAAAGACTTGCTGCTTTGTTGAAGTGAAAAATGGTTAATTAAATATTTAAAAATTCTTCATCTGTGTCTACAGTGGTTGGGGAGGGTATTTCCCAAGGATGTTACAGATTTGTATTTTTTATCCAAAAGTTTTTTTGTGTGTGTGTTTCCCTTCATTCACCTGGCTATGTCTCTTATCCATTTTATAATATCCATTAATGTAGTTCTATTTCATAGCTTTGTTTCTCATTTTATTTTATTTTTTTATTTTTCAAAAGAATGAAAATTTTATTCTGAACTTTTCAGTGGCAACAAGGCCATCTTCGGTCTATTCAACCCAGCTGGAAAAGCTGCCTCAATTTTTGTGTTCGATACCGCGATAGGTGATCAGATGCCGAGTTTGGGACCCATGTACACTGCGGAAAGAAACTCAAAGTGAGCCGCACTTTTGTTTTATTCATCTTTTAATTTAAAAAAAAAAATTGATGATGCCTTTTTTATTTATTTTGAGTTTAAAATGCCATTTTATAGAGTTGTTGTCATGCCTAAGTAATCTCTCCAACAGATATGGTGAATATCAAATTCTCTTATTTTTCTTTGACAAGTATGGGATGTTTCCATAAATTTAAGATAAACATAGACATTAAATTTCCTTAGAGATTAAAATTATGTGTTAATGCTGCATAACTTTTTCACAGAGTTTTCCTTTCATGTAGATGTCAGGTGAAGACGCTGCGCTTAAACAGTATTGAGGAATACAAACCCAATTTCAAATCTTATTTTTCTCTGTGATCTTGGTTTTGGAAATCCCAACTTCCAGCAATAATATTAATGTTGAACACTTAAGTTTTTGAACAACTTTCTTTGTCCTGTTGTTTCTTCCTTTGTCCTGTTGTTTCTTCCTTTGTCCTGTCTGCTGAGGATGGCTCTTGGCCAAAAGGTTCTTCTTTAATTGTCCTGTCTTCCAAGAATCCACATTCCTTGTTTTGCTATTTCCTTCACACAGCTTGAGCCCAGTCTTTCATTTATTATCCTTCAAATCATTCAAGTTTGTCTCCACCTGGTCAACATACCTTTAAAAGTGCATCTCTGCTTAGTTTATTCATTTAAAAAAAAAAAAAAAACTGGATATCTTAACCCCTTTCCTGGGCAGGCTGACCCAAGTCACGAATGAAGAAATGCTACCCCCTGCGGGTCTCAGCTTCAACGTGTTCCTGGATAAGACAGCCAACGAGAGACAAAAATTTGCACAGCTGCAGCGAGTGCTCGTGGATTACAAGAGAGAGAAGCGGGGACCAACCTTCATTGCCGTCCAGAGTCCTTTTGGTAAAACGTCATTTTAACTAAATAATTGTAGCTCTGAAATGGGTTGCGTGCATTTCTCACAAAATTATTAAGGTCTTAAAAGAAATTTTCATTGAAACATTGTGTATCGATACTTAACTAATTCCTGTTACTTGAAAGCAGTTAATTAAGGAAAATTGGTTGGACGTTTAGCCAAGCCGTGGTCTCATTGCCTGTTACTATCATGCTAACGCATCCTTATTGATTGTTCAGATTTAGGTCATCTGACCAGGCTTCTGCCAGAGCTTGCCCAGTTTCCTCTTGTCCCCATTCAGTCCACTGATGGCCCAACACTGTACAATGTCCTGGATTGGCAGAGGGTCGGCTCAAAACGTATGCTACTTCATTATGTCAACAGTACCATTTACATACAGGTGAGCTGTGCTGGAGAACGCATAAGCAAAGAAGAACAAAATGAGATAACATTTCTTATGTTAATATTGGAGACACAGTTTTAACTTCTGAAAATTTTGATTTGTTATGAGATTCATCATTTCTGTGACAACTTTTGTTTTAACTTAAACATGTTCCAATAGATCAACCAGTCATGAAATGTACTTGAATATAATAAAATGTACTTAACAAATTGGCAAAACATTTTTATCATTTGTCTGAAATAACAATTAAAAGAAAATGTAGGAAGCATTGTGTCATGGCTGGACATTGTGTCATAGCAAGACATTGTGTCATGGCTGGATATTGTGTCATAGCAAGACATTGTGTCATAGCTGGACATTGTGTCATAGCAAGACATTGTGTCATAGCAAGACATTGTGTCATGGCTGGACATTGTGTCATAGCAAGACATTGAGTCATGGCTGGACATTGTGTCATAGCAAGACATTGTGTCATTGCTGGACATTGTGTCATAGCTGGACATTGTGTCAAAGCTCGAAAGATAATTATTGCTTTTCTTGTTTTAGTCTCAACTTGAACATGCCCGCTACCTTCACGTCCCAGTGGGGAATCTGCCCCAAGATTTATACCTTTTTGGATGTGATCTGTTTCTGGCACGTCTTGCAATGAAACACAACCATATCTTGTGGGCGTCCTGCACGAATCGACCTGATCTAGGCGGGAAGGAAGCAGATGACAACAGGTTTGTGAATTATTTTTTTTTTTCTGGTTGAGATTTAAAAAAAAAAATTATACAATATCTGAATGAGATAGGAAATAATTCATTTTGAAATGAGCAATTTTCCTGTAGGTTTTTAACAGGGTTCGCACGGTCTTGGAAGGTCTTTGAAGGTTTGGGGAAAATAAAATAATATTTCCAGGGCCCGGAAAGTTTGGAAAAATTGTCAAAAAACGTCACAGTCTTTGAAAGTTTGGGTAAAATGATTTTAAAAAATTCAAAAGGAAAAAAAAAAACGACAAAAAAAAGGTTTTTTAAAAATCAAGAAAAAACATGTTTCCAATTTGACTGCCATGCGCTGTGCAGTGCACATTTCTTAATGATCCGTAATCCTGGAAAAAAGAAATTAGTTCATTGGTCGGTTGATTTGTTTAAGCCAATCAAATTACTGTTAACCAGTAAGCTATCAGTATTATCAGTCTGGAGAAAGAGAAATAGTCGAGAATTTATTGAAAAATTTTCCCGGTCTTGAAAACCGGCAAAATGGGTCTTCTACTTCTAGTAAAATTTTCCGGATAGTCTGGAATTTTTTATTTTGTAAAATATAATAATAAATTTGGCTTTGAATTCCATGAAAATTGATGTTAAGGGCCGATCTCGTCTATTTAGACTATATTAGCCTTTCTGTTATTAAAAATAACCTTGCCAAATACTAGAGTGGTTTCCCTTAACTGCTCATGCTCTACAAGTTTCTAATACCGTACAACTTCAATTGACCAGAAATATTTAATTTCTGTTGACATCGCCGATCAAGAGATGTTTGACTGTTTGGGTAAGTAAAGTGTAAAATATAGTAAATAATTATTTGAACCTAGTTTTCAATTGTGATATAACCATTCAAAATAGAAAACTCCTTGCCCAAGCGCTGTTTAAAATGACTAAGCTTAGCGTACTTTGTGATGTCGTAGTCTTCATAAGTTGATCTTTAACCGCTTTACCGTATGCGGCCGACATGTAATTTTTTTATTAGCGCTAAGCAGCCTTTAACTTTAAAAAAAAAAAAAAAAGACTTTAAGTTCACTTTACACTTCATTATGGAGTAGGCTAATTTTAAATAGGTCTTGATCTATATGATCAAGTTATTTTGTGGTGTTATTTTTGCGTAGATTAGTTAGCTAGACGACTGACTTCGGAAATTCATTTAAAAGTTAATAAAATAAAACTAAAACTATTTTTGATTGGACTTGATACATGACATGACATCGATTCAGTGAGCCTAACATAACTGTATATAGTTACTTAGTCCTTAGTTATAGTCCTTTTTTATAGCTATGCACTCCCGTGTTCTGTGAATACTTTATGATATAATACTATTATTCATAAGCCAGTGTTGTAGGCCAGGTTTTTTTTTTTTTGGGGAGTGGGGGGGTTCTTTTTGGATACTTCAAAAAAAGGTGAGGTGGGGTGGTCAATGATGCATTCCCTTGCGGAAAATCCTGACTGTGCCGTTTTATATGCTTATCTTAGTATTTCTTCTGACTCTATATTCCTGTAGTTTAGGACGGGTATAATAAAGTCTATGTGGTGTATGCCTTACTGTAAATTATAAACATAATATTCATATGATAATATATTTTTTTTCGTTACTTTTTATTTTTGTTTCACTATTCAGGATCAAGGCTCAATAAAATAATGCCCAACACACAGTTCCTTTAAAGACTTATGGTCAGGACAGATATCATGATAATGATTGAACAAGTCATCACTGCTTCACTATGCTGGAAATATTTATATCAAGTATTCAGGGGGAAAATATTAAAAAATGTCAATCATCTGATGAGACTTCAGCTTTATCACCTATCTTAGGTGTCCACTTCTGCAACTTCTCAGCCAAGCTCCCAATATATGTGTCAAAATATGAATCCCTCATTGGAGACATTTTATAGACAAGCAAATGGATATTTATGTTCGCATCTGGGATGTAAATCATTTCTCCATTCATCTCATTTTCTAAGACATGTCACTGCTGCAAGCATGTCCGAAAAAATCAGTCCGATTATTACAGACCTTGGACACAGGGAATTTTTACAAATGACTATGTTTGGCCCTGCAATGAACTGGAAATTTTTCAAAGCCTCTGGATACAGCTGCACAGTCAGGACATTTAAAATATTTTGTCTAGGACATTTCCTCATTGGTCTGTAGCTAATGATTCATCATGATAACGATAATTTAACTATTAATTCAAATAAAAATTACATTTGAACACTAAGCTGATTCAAGTATATATACCACTGTACATATATGTGTTATATTTCCTAAAACTAAAGGATTTCTCTACATGGATAAGCTGAATGTTATGTATATATTGTATATACTTTATTTTGTAAAGATTTTTGAATCTATGCTATTATGAGGTGAGTTTGTTTGTTTTTTCTCGTTAGTACCTTATATGATAATAAACACGCTAGGTCTTTGAATTTTTAAAAAAAGGTCTTTGAAGGTTTGGGAAAAGTTTGTGAATTTTGTAGCTTGAATTTTGTATGAACCCTGTTTTAAATTTGTATACATTATCAACTTGAAGGAAGATTTTTAGAAGCGTTTTTTTCTGCAGGCGAATGGCACTAATTCTAATAACATCTTGTGCTCAGTTTGATTGCGCCCCCCCCCTCCCCCGGGTCACTTTCCGCACCAGGAAATGAAGACTTTCCTTTGTAAATTTCTCTTAGCAATTTGAGTTGTCCTCCTTGATTCAAGGCTCATATCAAAGACATGTCTCTAGTTTGGCTCAAAATGTTCAAATGCTAAGTTCAGTTTTGCGGTCTATTTCAATCCATTTAAATCCTTTGCCCCTTCCCCCTTTAAAAACACCCGACCCCCCAATCTGTATTCTGTGAAGTAACTTCTTCGGTTGAGTTGTTGTTTGTGTGTAAATGAAGCTTAATCCTTGGCTCACTTGTGAATGTTATCAGTTGTAAACCTTTTAAACTTAATGACTACTTTCTCTTTTTGACCAGGCTGTGCATGGAGCTAGAGGAGAGTAGTGTTGTAGAGATCAACAACCCCGGGGCTTACAGCACTGTCTGTGTGGACGTGGAGCTGACCAGCCTTGCGGTCAACACCATAGTTGAGGTGGGTTATCTCACTAGCAGTATTGGGGGAAAAAATCCCCTGTGACCCTCTTAAAGTCTGTTGCACCACCCAGGTGCATTTTTTGTTTTCTTTCGCATAAAACGTTAACTTTAAAAAAAAAAATTTCATCACCATCCAGTTCGTGGTGCAGCTTATTTGAAATGAACATAATTTTTGATGTATGTCCAATTACATTTGTTTTTGTTTCAGTCTGGGCATATCAATGAACTAGAGGGCGCTAGCGCTGTCAGCTTTGATGCACCGCAAACTTCACTGGAGGACATGATCCAAGGTCAAGGAGCTGCCATGATGCTGGCCAGTTATGATGAGACAGCGCTCTGTGCAACAACTTTTAGGTTTGACCTTTGTCTTCATAGATCAGTTAAAACTTACTACCGGGTAACACACTTATGTGGTTCTATCAACAAGTCTGGTCTTAGTCCTTTATGAAGATGATTTGCCTTCAAGGCTCACTGGCCAGTTACGTCTCTTTAACAATTTGATTTTTGATCTCTCATGCACCTGGATAATGTGAAAAGTATATAAATTTAAAAAAAATAAAATTGGAAGCTTAAGTAACAGGGAAACGACATTCAATATGATAAATGATTTTTTTTTTTTTTCAAAGTAGATCTTTTTAATCAGATTGATGCATTGCCTTAATTTTGCTTGTTTTAAATTGCAATTTGTCTAATCCAAACTCAAACTTGCTGGTTATTTTGTCATTATTTGAGAAACCTATAATCATTATTTAGAAAAATTGCTAACAATATACTTCTGTCATGTAAAAAAAACCACATAAAAACCCTCAATAAAAATCTATTGAAGATGAGTGTTTTTGTTTTCCTTACAGAATTCTTAAAATGATGGTGCAAGGCTGGCTGAAAGACATCACATCTTATCAGAACCAACATGCTGACAGTCAACTACTGAACTTTTACAGGTACCGCTATCATTTATCTTTCCCAACTTTGGTTTTGCTCTTGTTTACTACTGTTTTGTCTTGTTTGATCATTTCAATTTTAGAAAATTAAGTAGTTAAAAAGGGTCAACACTATTCTTCATTTCTGCCATAAATTGTTTATGTTTAGTGTATTGAAAGGGTCATTCTGTGCTCTGTTTTGTAATATGTTCTCTGTTTTGTAATATGTGCTCAATTTTTTAATACAAGCACTATTTTGTTAACAAGGTTCAGAAGCACCATGTGATAATTTTCCTCAGTAGGGCCTATATCCTCAGAATATAATAGATTAATAAAATGTTCACATTTAATTTGTTGACTACAGATGGATTCGTTCACCCAATGCTCTCCTGTATGATCCAGCTCTCAGAAGAACCTTACATAACATGATGAAGAAAGTTTTTATGCAGGTAATGGCCATGTCTCCAAGTGGTCTCAGATCTTCAAGTTTGATAGGTCTCTTCTTGAAAGTTGAACTGCTATTTTTTTTTTAAAGAGTTATACATGTTTGTTATCAACATATGTTTGGGAACTCTTGTATTAGTAAGTACATTTTACCCTGTTTCAGTCAAAAGTATTTTAACATTTCCAGGTTAGCTCTTGATTTCATTTTGAAAGGGAAAAATCACCCAAAGTTGAATTTGTTTGTACAGCCAGTTCACCCAGAACACATAAAAGCTAGTGTAAACAGTAAAATTGTTAAAATTCCTTTTCCATAAGTTTGTTTGATTGTTCATTTGAAAATGAGTTGCCTTTTCAGTTCAGATATTTACATTCAGATTTGTTACATTAAAAAAGAAAAAAAAGCATCTTTGAATCTTGTAGTTAGCATAAATGTATATATAACTATTCCTCTTATTCAATTAACTGAAATAGCTACAATATGTTAACTCAAATGTTTCATACGAAATCTGGCATAGACATTGTGGTAAGAGGAGCCAATAACGTTAAGGAAAGAATCAACGATTTGCAGTAAAATTAGTTCTCGCTTTTTTACTTGCAGTTGATAGCAGAGTTCAAGAGACTAGGGTCTGTGATAGTGCACGCCAATTTTAACCGCCTAATTGTGTGCACCAAGAAACGACGCATTGATGATGCCATAGGCTACGTGGAGTACATCACGACCTCGATCAGGAACAGAGAACTCTTCAGAATGATCGGCATGGACTTTGACAAGTGTTGGGAGTTTTTAATTTGGATGGATCCAGTGAGTAGAGATTGAGAAAAGCATTAAATAAAAAAATTAATATTTTTTATTCATTATAGTCATACAGTGAAACGCCACTATATTGCGCAGTCGTGGTATGGCTCGTGAAATTTTGTTTATTCATTTGCAAATTTTTTCAAACACAATCACAGATCTGCTAAAACTACCACAACCACAAGAGATTTTAAAAAAATATTTTAAAAAATTTGTTAAAATAAATGAAATACCCATCCGCCTACTTTAAAATAGTTCCAGAGCTATGTTCAAGGAATATTGTAAAACTTTTCTATAAGGCAACCATGTCTTGTTGCTATATATGGGGGGTATTGGATTTTATGGGCCCCAATTATTGCGTTATAGCCAGGTTTCACTATATTGTAAAAATTGACATTTACTAAAATTCTGCCGCATCTGTCTCTTAACCTGGACTTGGTTGGTTCCGATGTGTGTGTTCAACCCCAGCTATGCTGTATTGGATTTTTTGCCCAGCTATGGTGGATTGTACTTTTTGCCTAGCTATGGGGGATTGGACTTTTTTCCCAGCTATGGGGGTTGGACTTTTTGCCAAGCTAAGGGGGGTTGGACTTTTTGCCTAGCTATTGGGGACTTGGACCTTTTGCTTAGCTATGAGGTGTAGACTTTTTTCCCAGCTATGAGGGATTGGACTTTTTTCCCAGCTATGGTGGGTTGGACTTTATGCCCAGCTATGGGGGATTGGACATTTTGCATAGCTATGGGGGATTGGACATTTTGCCCAGCAAGGTTAGCAAGGAGGAATAAAAACTTGAGCTATTGGAGACAGAAAATAGCAGCCAACTATTCCTGTGATAAACATTGGCTGTTTTCAATCTGTCCATATCAGACACGAATTTAGAAAAAGCTTTTTATTTTTCGCTTTCTCAACTCATTAGAAGTTTACCAATTGACTTTATATTTACACTATACATGCTCTGATTTTAAACTAAATAAAGATGCATGTTGCAGATTTGTTTTATTGTTGTATAATTTAATATTTTATTAGGCCAACAGGGGAGGTGTGTTAGGTAAACTCAGTGATCTAGAACCCAAAGAGAGGCTCGAAGATGAAGAAAGAGAAGAAGAGGATGATGGTGATGACCTTGAGGTACTTGAATTTTATTTTTTTAATAAGAGCTTTGCTGATATGAGTCAAAAGTTAATATTTGATTATTTTTTTTTTGCCTCTTGAATGGACTTTCTTTAAACCAAATAAAAGAAACTGGTAACAGTATAAAAAGCTTTTTTATCAAATAGTTTGATAAGTTATGAATTTAAAATTAGTCAAAATTGTACAGGCAGGCTTAAGATAATAGTTTTTCAAACATTGTTCCTAGAAAGAGAAATAATTTTAAAAACTCACTGTTTGAAATTCCAGTCAAGGACAGACATGCACTGGAATATTGCCAGCTTTTTACCTGAAGCTGGTGCATGCCAAAGTAATTTTAATGTAAGTTTTATGCCTCATTAATAAACTATAACACTTCTGATTTTTATACGACAAAAATTTACTTAACTTTGATTAAGTTTAAAAAATTGAATAATTATATTAGTTACATTATGTTCTTAAGAAATGAAATTAGTTTTTTTATAAACATGTCTTTATGGACTTGGAAGTTTATTAATATTTACACTGTAAGCAAACAGAAAACTGATTATTCTGAGTCTTGTTATCTTGTAGTCTGTGCAGTATAAAAAAAAATATGCAGCTAAATATTTCCTTATTTAGAAATTAAACTACTGTAAACTAAATTTATTATTTAATTTTTAATATTTATGATATTTCCATATCATCTACAGATGCTTGTAGCTGGCTATGTTATGGCTATGTATAAACAAATTCAGGAAGACTCTAAGGTGACCCCTGGTGACACACCTGTCAAGAGGAAATCTAACAGCCAAACTCAGGTTAGTTTGTGTGTCTGTCAAGTCTTTCCTCACACTCACACGAAGATGGTTAAAGGGAAATAATTAACTTTGTTTAATTCAGTCAACTCTTTCCTCACACTCACACAAAGATGGTTAAAGCGAAGTAATTAACTTTGTTCAAGTGAACCCAGACGAACAATTAAATTGTTCAATCATACTTGCTCTCTCTCTCTCTCTCTCTCTCTCTCTCTCTCTCTCTCTCTCTCTCTCTCTCTCTCTATTTATATTTGTTTATGTTTTCTACAACTCTTTCCTCACACTCACACAAAGATGGTTAAAGCGAAGTAATTAACTTTTTTCAAGTGAACCCAGACGAACAATTAAATTGTTCAATCATACTTGCTCTCTCTCTCTCTCTCTCTCTCTCTCTCTCTCTCTCTCTCTCTCTCTCTCTCTCTATTAATATTTGTTTATGTTTTCTGCTTCAGAAACCAGTTGATGTTACAACCCTCCCTTCCATAGTTTCTTTCTCACAAGGCTTAATTCAAGGGGACCTCACTCACCACCTGTTTTCGTAAGTAAAATAATAATTTACTCTAAACAACGCTCAAATTTTATCTTACAATAAACAATGAAATAAAGTTTTGTTAAAGTCATTTAATTACGGTCATAGATTTCTAGCTTATTAAAAAACAGCATGTGAAGCAAAGAATGTTTCAATTTTTCCATTAACTTTTCATGAAATATCCCTGACATTTGTAGATTGAGCCAGAAACTGAAGAAGAAGTTTCCTGTTTCACATGAAGGTGAAGGTGACCTTTTCCCACGCTTGCCAGGGTCGCATCTGAAACTCTCCAATCCAGCCTTAGAATTTGTCAAAAGTATTTGTGAGGTTTGTGTGTGGGTTATTTTCTTATTAGAACACAGTCAATGCAGTCAGAAGTGTCAGCAGCTGGTCCCCCCCCCCTCCCCACACACACACACAAGTGTCTCAGCCAAACTTCAATAGTTTCTGAGCATCAGTTTATGTCTCATAGTTAATGCAATACAGATACTTCTCATACAGCTGTTGTTAGGTACGTTCGGCAAAAAAACATGCAGACAGTCTTGTGTCTTGTATATTTTTCAAATGATGCTCATCGTAACCTGTCATATTAACCGTACACTTTAAAAATAAAAGGCACAGAACAAATATGAAATAATCTTGTTATGAAGAATTCAAGTTTTTAGAAATGAAGCAGCACAGAAGAAACAAATAATGGTCCAAGACTTGGTTGTCATGGTAACTGGACATCCATCTTGATTTGAGTCATTTCTACTGCAATTTGTAAATTTATTTGAGTTTTGTTGTCCCAAAGAACATCTCTCACCCCTGGTAATAGCCCAGGTTTAGGAATAACTGTTTAAACCAAAATGCCTACAACTCTTTTGAAGCATGAGGCTTTTTACCCTGAGCATTGCCCTGCCATTTATATAGGGATATGAGTGAAACGAATTATTGGAAAACCTAAAAATAATTAACGCAACGTTTCAGGTGTTCCCATACATTGTTTCATTATTTCCATTTTTGCTAACCTGATTGCAGTATCTCCCCCTTATTACCATTTATTTAGTGTATTTTCTTGTATTGAAATTCACATGTCAAAAAATAAATAAGATTCCATCAAAACTAATTCACTCACATGTTATGTGACCTAATAATTGAACCACAATTCTTTTCTGACTATTCAGGTTCTGGCACTGGACAGTAACATAACAATCCAGGTGAAAAAACTGAAGCGAGACCTGCTGAAACTGATAGGTGTTGGGGAGTTCTCTCCCCAAGCTGAGTTCATCAACCCTTGTTTGTCATTTGTCTTGCCTGAGGTAAGAACAGTGATAGTGTTTACGAATGTTTTAGACACCATAAAGCTTGTGGCATATACATGATGTGATATTATGCATCTGTTATGTGGTATCTTGACTGACTTTGAGTATGTGCTCATTCAGTTTGACAATGGCTGTCTGAGCGTTGCGTGAGCAGGTTGTATTGTATTTCAGTAGCCAGCTGCACTATATATGTTTGAAGTATTGTATGACCAGATGAAAGATAAGCTTGGAATAAAGTTTACGTTGTACTTTGAATATGACTTGTGTTCTGTTTCAATCAGACTATGACATATGAACGTATGTATGAAATTGGCTTGAGAAATTCAACCTTATGAACCAATCATTTTTAAAAATACCGGGGTAATGTAAATGCTAACTCTTTAAGTCAACATTGTCACTTATTTAGGACAGTTCCTTGGTACATGACTGTTGATTTTGCACTTGAGAAATACTTTTAGGTGTCTCGTGTTAAATTATTATTGTTTAAGAAGGTTTTTCTTTGAAAGAATATGTATGTGCTAAAAATGTATATATACTATGTAATTTAAAAAAACAAACATTTCCATTTATTTGGATTAATTTAAAGACTAATATCTTTTCTTATCTTACCTGGTGATGGTGAAATGTTAACTTGAAACAATCAAAGCTTTGGAATGGGATTAGTTTTTAAAAAATGTGTTTAGGAGTGGGGGTGTGTGTGTGTGGGGGGGGGGGCACTAAGCACAAGCTAGCGTCGCTTATGTATAACTAAAAGTCAGGAGTCACTAGCTCAGACAAGTGGGACTGTTAGTGGGGGGGGGGGGGCACTAAGCACAAGCTAGCGTCGCTTATGTATAACTAAAAGTCAGGAGTCACTAGCTCAGACAAGTGGGACTGTTCTTAAAAACAGCAACTAACAAATATTATAAGTTATAAAATATAAGAATTGAAAAAAGGGGCTATAAAGAGTCAATTTGAAATAAAAAAAAATTCCACAATTGTTGGTTCATTTTAAAAAAAAAAAATTATTTGAATAATTACATTACTGTGCTGAATAGTTGCATTAATGCGCTATAAATTTTTTCACAGATGATCTGCAAAGGTTGCAATCAGATTCGTGATCTTGACCTCTGCCGTGATGAATCTGAAAAGAAAGGCGGAGATGTGGCAAGGTAGCAAGCTGTGTTTAAGAAAAATTGTAATTAAGAGTTTGATCAATTCTACTGGAAACAATGCCATAAAATTTATTTGAATGTATGTTAAAAATGTAATCAACTTTAATTATGCCAAATTTAAATTGAACTTGATTAATAAGTCCTCGTGTCATTTTAAAATCTCTCCTGCAGTGCCTGGGTGTGTCCTCAGTGTAGAAGTGAGTACGATTCATCTGAGATTGAGCAGACCTTGGTGGATGTCCTGCAAAGGAAATCCATGGCTTACGTCTTGCAGGACCTTTCTTGTTACAAGTGCCGTGGGGTACGTGTTGACTGGAGTAAATGGTTTTAACATGGGGGAATTTTACTTTGCTCTAGAGTCTATAAAAGCAGCAGTATCTATAGATTAAGTGATATTTAAGGGCAGGTAACAACTTTACCAAGTCAATCCTGGATTCCCTTTAATTTTGCCTATTTCTATTTTTAATTTGATTTTTGACTTGTAGGTCAAAGACACAAACTTGAACCTACACTGTAAATGTGCTGGGGAATTCAAGCCTTCCTATGACATTACAGATTTACATAAACAGCTGATAACACTTCAGGGCATCGCAGGGTGAGATCATCATTCTCTGAATAAGTTTAAAATTTTTTATTATTTTTTTTACTTTACATAAAGAATTGACTTCCAATTAGTGTATTTTAAAATAATTCTTAGCACACTGAATTGTTTCTTTAATAAATGCTTAAAATTAAAAGGGAATGATGTAAATAACTAATAGGTTTAAATTTTAAATCTTAGTTCTTCACTTAGGTCTTCAAGGACTTGGAGGGTGGATACAAAAATTAGGGCAGCTGTTGTGTAAATTTAGTACCGGGTATTGCAGATTTTTTGGCCTATAAATTAAAATTTTGATATTTGCTTTGATTTACAGCCATTACAAAATGACCCTGCTGGAGGAAATGATAGATTGGGTGATCAGGATGAATCCACGCCTTGAGGTCATGTCATGATGACCCCTGCAAGATGTACTGGTGGATCATCACAGGCCTTGGAGTCATGTAGTGGTTGCGCCTGTTCAAGTGCGGTTATATTTGGCAAACTTCTAAACCTGGAGATGACATCAACTGTAGGAAATTATCAGTTCTTGAACACACTTACACCTGCAGATGATGTAGTAATCTCACCTGCACTGCTGTGGTCATGTCATATGCACACTTGAAGGAGTGCATGGAGCATGCCATATCAGCTGCACAGCAAAAAAGATTTTATTTTGAGCCACACGTACAGCTCAAAAAATTTATTCTGACCAGAAGGTCATGGTCGCTTCCATTAATGTTGTATTGTTAACAAAACATTATGGTGTGCTGTAATTATATTGTTAAATAGTTGAAATCTCACAAATATGCAAAAGCAAATTTTACTGTTCATAAATCTGTACATTTAAGTTGACATCAGTCATGTCTCAGACACTAACACACCCAAATGCCATGTTCCTTGATAAAGGACAAGTTTGAGGAAGTTTCTCATTCCTTAAAAATAATCATTTTCTTAAACCATTTGCATTTGTTCTGAATGAGAGTATTTTGGAAAATTACAGGAATAACTTTTTTTTTTTTTTTTTCAACATATGATTGTACCAAAATTTGCACATTTTTAAAATATAAAAATTTTTTTCCTCATAAATATGTGCCCACCCCTCATCTTTGCCCCTTAACTGTGTTTGGAAAAGTAGGAAAATCTTGATGTCCTTAGTTGCAAAGAACTCTTATCCTCTATTTTCCCCTTTCCAACTTCATTGCGTTTTTATTAGGGTTTCTCACTTCCATGGGTTTCACTTATCCCAGGAAAATGGGAAAGATGTTTTCCTCATCCGTGGATAAAATTAATTTGTTAAAAAATGTATTATAAACTCAATTAAACTATAAAAATTGTTTTTTATATTTATTTTTTGTGTTTGTCTATTATTATTATAGAATTTAAAAAAAAAAATGTAAGATTAGTTGAGAGGTTGGCTATCTGCTTTATTTTCCACTGCTTATCGCTAGCAATGGATAACTGGCTAACAATAAAGTCTTTGTAAAGCAAAGGTTGGATATAACCGCCATGAAGAACAAAAATTTCAAAACTTAATGTGTTTGGCATTCTTGACAGGTCACTTACATTAAACTCAAATTCTGTATGAATGAAGTGCATAAAGATGGCTCTAAATTGACAATTGATACATGTAATCACTTCACAAAATGACATATTGCCAGAATCCATGCTATATAAAGAAACGTAATCTTCAACTTCAATTATATAATTGATTCTAGTATTTTAGTTTCATAATCATTGTCAATATGCCTTTAAACTTTTATTTGCTAGCAGTACTCAAAGTAAAAATTTCAAATGCACCTAACTTGCACAAAAAGAACCTTGGAAAGGGCTGGCATATAGATTTCCATGGACACCAAGATTACCTTTCTATCACTCATAGAAGAAAACTTAAGATTTTTTAAATCTGTGTTATTTAAGCCATTTTTTAGGTCTAGCCCAACACTTTTAATAATTTAAAATTCAGTTTTTAAATTTTTTGTTTTGTTTTCAAGGGTGCAGCCATCTAATTATGTGGAGATTCTAACAAAACATTTTTAACAAAATAAAACATACACTTTAATTCTTTATTTTTTAAAATTCAATTAATATGATCAGATAATGATATGGGAGTGTGTGTGGTTAGCATTGACATTCAAAATAAAAATAAAATAGCATCATTTTTCAATTAATGAAGCTATTAAAATACAATTATCCACAGTAACAAATAGTGCCCAGCTGAAATAAAAGACATTTATTAATTAATATTTCCTATAACAAAAAGGACTAAAAACTACTGCGGCTGACATTGGTACATTTAAATAACTTCATTTTAAAATTAATAAAGCTGTAGCAATACTATTTTTCCAAAGTAACAGTGCCCGGCTGAACTTAGAGACACCTTATTAATTATCATTAAAATAATTAACCTACAAATAAAAAAGAAAATGACAAAAAGCTACTTTATTTTTAAGCTAGTAAAGCTTTTGTAATAAAATTTTCCACAGTAACAAATAAAATGGGTTCAGCTGAAATTAAAGACATTCTATTAAGTATTATTTGTCATTAAAATAAATCATTAACCTTCCTATTTTTAAGAACAATTTTGATCAAAAGCTGCTGCCGCCAACACATTGGTACATTTAGATAGTTCATTTGAAAACTAAAAAGTCTATTGTTATAAAATTGTACGCAGTAACAGATAGTGTCCAACTAAAACTAAAGACATTTTATTCATTATAATTTACCATTAAAATAATTAACCTCGACATTTTAAGAACAAATTTGATGAAAAGCTGTAGCGGACATGTCAGTACATTTAAATACTCCATTTTTAAACTAATAAAAACTATTCAAATAACATTTTCCACAGTAACAGATAGGGTCCTGCAGAAATTTAAAAAATTGTATAATTGATTCAACTCCCTAGATATCCAATGCGTATAAAGCTGTGTTTTCGCCATGTTCAAAGCCAAGTTTGTAATTTTGTGTATTTTTAAGTTGACTTAAAGAACGATAACTGGGTGACAAGGGAAGTAAATCCCCAGTTTTGCAGTGCCTTTTACTTTTAAGGACACTCTGTGACATGCAGAATTTAAAAAAAAAAAAAAAGATATTGTATTCTGGAAGTGTTTACCAAGGATGAGACAAGGTCCCGGGAGTTCGTTTGTGAAATACATGATTTCATTAGGTTTAAAGCTACCCGGTATCTATATACCGATTCTTGGCGAGTAACAACATATTTCAGCTTTGGGGACGTCCATTAATTTACCTAATTAATGGACGACATTTTTGAGACATTGCTATACCTATCAAATGCGGCCAGCCATAATGTTGTGTCATTTCTGTATGGGGCAAAATCTCAACAAAAACAAACAAAAAAAGGCATCTCCTGCACAGTGATTAGTATTTTATTGAGTTTTTAATTACAGCTGTCCAGGGACGTGGACACTCCTATGTATGTTGCCATTGCCATGGCACACTTTTTACATGCCCACAAACTAAATAAACAATATAATTAGGCTGCGACTATTCGTACCCGGGTACCAGAAGTGAGGGTTTGGGATTTAAAAAAAAACGATTTAAAATATTATTGTTGGGTTTGTAAGACAAAATGAGGAATCAAATGAAAGATAACTGAATGGAGTATATTTTGGTAAACTTAATTCTTCAGTTTAACTAAAATAAACTACGACAATTGACATCTGAATAGTATTGAGTCAAACTGGACCCAGGCACGCAGCGCCGCCATTCGTACCCGGGTACCATTATTCTTTTGTCAATAGAGCACTAAAATGTAGAAAATAATTTTTTTATGACAATTTATGTCATGTCTTCTAAAGAACGACTTTTAAACTAAAGTTTTTAAAATATTTTAAAATTCTTTACGTCAAGTTTTCGTTTTTCCGTGTGTTTGTGGCAAAGTCTTCGAACGGCCAAACGACCCACTTCCCATCATCCTATCGAACTGAAACAGATTGTGTTATTTTATTTCCTGGAGCGGCCGTGGAGCCCACCCCCCCCCCCCCCCCCCCCCCCCTCCAACAAACCCCCCCCCCCCAAAAAAAA